TGGCATGGGTTTCTTGGTGCCACCAGCATCGTGATCCTTAAGATGAATGGGGTCACGTTTCTCAGTGCTTTCATGTCTCACCACTCAGAGGGAGTCCCTTGGACCAGCAGAACCCTGTCAGCTTGAAGCTGGTCAGAAATACCAAATCAGGTCCCACTCGATCCGCTTAGTCAGAATCTGCGTTTTCGGTAGAACGCCAAGTGAACATGTTCACCTACACACAGGAAGGGATGAGAAACTGCTTCAGGGGCACACAGGGGCTTCTGAAGCCACAGGACACTTGCTGGATGTGCTGTCCTCCAGGGCATAACACCTCTCCCCTTCTTTTGTAAAGATACTCTAGCCCACTGAGGGAGTGCCCCTTCAGAGACAGCAGGTGCTAAATGCCCACTGAATATGACCTCAAGCCATTTATGTCATTGACCAGAGGAACTGGAGTTGGTCCTGCAGATGACAGACACGCTCTTGGGTCTGAAGAACTTTAATTTTCAAGGTTTGGCAGGTTTGCCTTTCAAGTGCAGCCCTGTCTGGATGGATGGGCCCCAGCAGTTCTTATGTGATCATAGTTCTCTCAAAGGAAGCTTTGAGGACAGTGAGACCCTGCAAATGCCAATTCTCCTGTCCAGAGTGAGTGTAAACTTTTTTTTCCCTCTTAGTCAGACTGAAAAAAAATTTCACTGAAATAGGAATGAATGATTATAACTGCCAGGAATAGTTTGAATATATCAGTCACTTCAGGTTTTTTGGTCCATCTCCTTTTCCATATAAGAATGTGTGAGTGAGGCTGGGCTCGGTAGCTCAGCCTGTAATCTCAGCACTTTGGGAGGCTGAGGTAAGTGGATTGCCTGAGTTCATGGTTTCGAGACCAGCCCGGGCAACTTGGTGAGACCTCATCTCTACAATATACAAAAAATTAGCCGGGCATGGTAGCGTGCACCTGTAGTTCCTGCTACTTGGTAGGCTGAGGTGGAAGGATTGCCAGAGCCCAGCAGGTTGATGCTGGAGTGGCTGTGAGTGTGCCACTGCACTTCAGCCTGGGTGACAGAGTGAGACTCCAACTCAAAAATTTTAAAAAAGGAATGTGTGGAGTGTGGTAAAAGCATGGATTCCAGAATCCTCACCAGTCTTCTTGTGTTTCTCTGTCTCTGATCTGGTCTCTTGCCTGCTGAAAATGTGGACTCAAAAGTTACATTTAGACTTGTCTGCCACAGATGGGAGTGAGGATGGAGATGAGAATGCTAGGTTATGACACCCCTGGAATCCCAGGCAATTTCTAGTCCCAGTACTTTCTGCACATGGCATCTAAGTTGTACACACTCATAAATATAGACTTTTGCATTGCATATTGTATTGTATTGTTTTTTTTTTTTGTAGTTGGAGTCTCACTCTGTCGCCCAGACTGGAGTTCAGAGGCATGCCCCTGGTCACCACAGCCTCAACCTGCTGGGCTCCGGCGATCCTTCCGCCTCAGCCTTCCAAGTAGCTGGAACTACAGGCGTGCGCTACCACGCCCGGCTGATTTTTTTGATTTATTGTAGAGATGAGGTCTCACCAAGTTTCCCAGGTGGGTTTCGAACCCACGGGCTCAGACAATTCACTCGCCTCGGCCTCCCAAAGCGTGGGATTTCAGGCTGAGCCACTGAGCCCAGCCGTATTTTTTTTAAGTCAGGGTTGTCACCAGGTTGGAGTGCAGTGGCACAATCACGGCTCTCTGCAGTCTCGACCTCCTGAGCTCAGACAATCCTTCTGTCTCAGCCTCCTGAGTAGCTGGGACTACAGGTGTGCACCACAACACCTGGCTAGTTTTTTTGTTTTTCATTTTTTGTAGAGACAAGGTTATGCCATGTTGCCCAGGCTGGTCTCAAAACTCCTGGGCTCAGGCAGTTCGCTCACTTCATCCTCCCAGAGTACTGGGATTACAGGCAGCAGCTACCATGCCCAGCTGCAGATGATGTTTTTAAAAGGTGCATTTTCCAGTAGGAAAAAACCATTCAGCTACTAGGGACAGCATTGACAGCCAGATGGGCCATCTCCTGGATAGCCTGGTGGTTGGGCATGTGAAGTCTGCAGTCAGATCACCTGGGTTTGAATCTTATCTCTGCCACTTACTGGGTAACTCTGGGCAAGTTACTCATCCTCTCTAATCTTATCTGTAAAAGCAAGACAATAATAGTACCTCCCACACAGGTTTATCATGAGGACAAGGGAATGCATGTAAGACTCTGGCTAGCCAATAGTACATTAATGACATAACCATTATTCAATCTCTGATGAAATATGAAGAAATCATTTGGTTCAACGAAATGCCAAATGCAGGCCTGAGGACCCAAAGAAGAGACTTGTGGATGGAGTTTCAGCTCTCCTTCCTACAGTACTGATTCACAGTGAGGTGGTCCCAAGGCAAGCAGAGGAGACGGGAGAAGCAGCGACTGGAGGGTCTGCGGAGGCAGCAGTAACTCCCCGGAATAATTGAACTAACTGCACTTTATTATTTATTATTATTTTTAGAGACGGAGCCTTGCTCTGTTGCCTAGGCTGGAATGCAGTGGTGTGATCATAGCTCACTGTAGCCTTGAACTCCTGAGCTTAAGTGATCTTCCCAAAGTTTTGGGATTACAGGCATGAGCTACTACTGTGGCCTGACTGCACTTTAATGAAGAGGAGTGAGATGACATAACTAGGTGCATTTACATAAGGCTCAACAGTGTGCAGATTGAGGCCCTCGTTTTCTCGTTTCATCCCCTTAGTTACTCTGTGAAGTAGAGCAGGTATCGTGGTTCCCACTTGACAAAGAAGGATGCTGAGGCTTAGCAGATACAGTGGCTTGGCATTGGTCCCCACTAACTAGAGAGAACCCTGGCTTCTGAACTCCTGCTCCAGCATCTCTTCCACACAGTCAGCAGGGTGTTGAGTGCTATGACTTGGGTCTGTGTGACTCACCTCGGTGTATTATGGAGAAGAAGCATCGGTGGCACGTCTCTAGGACAAGAATGGCAATGTGTAGATGCATGTGGCAGCTGTGCCCTCCATTTCCATGGCAGCCATTGCCCACTGACCATGATGTTTCCCACAGAGCCTTGGAGTTCCAAAACTCCAGGCAGCCACTCCTGGTCATACCTCTTAAGCAAGAGGGAACCCTCTGGCCAGCTTTCTTTTAGTGGTATCCCTTCAGTGCCGTCAACAGTTACATTTGTTTTCAAATTTCTGCATCTTCTGGTGTTCAGGTGACTTGGGAACGCCTGGTGGTGGCAACAATATTTAGATTTTACCAGCTGTTTACATGTTACTACTCAGTTGACACTTACACCTTGCTGTGTCATCCAGCAGTTCTTCAAGTAAAAATTGGCAGCCGATATAGTCGTCATTGATATTCATTGTGGCCAGCAATCTTTTCTCTCTCTTTAGAGGCTAAATTGGTCTCTTATTCCATCCACTAACATCTGGAAGGGAGACAATAGCAAGGAAAAGAGGCTTCTCCATCCTCCCAAGCACACTCCAGCTGGAAGCACCCTACCCAGAGCTGAGATCCACTCTTCCCGCCTGTCTCCCCCATGTAGCAGTGTCTCGCCAGATAGCTGTGGCATGCTGCACTCAGGGGGAAGCACGTGTCTGCAGGTGACTGTGTGCCCTTGCAGAACATGACCAGCAATGCCTGGCAGATGATTTTGTCCTGAGTGTGCTCCAAGAGCTCTGTGAGGGCTGTGAGACTGCAGATGGAGAACTTCAGAAGAAGGAAGGTGTTAGTGTGATTGCTACTCTGTGTTCCCTTCCCCATTTCAGCAGTGGGAGGGCATAGGATTAAGGGAATGGCAGGACACTAGGGAGACAATGTAAAATAAACAGAATGGTTGATCCATCTTCTGTTTAGGGGCTTGATGCAGTTAGGGTTTGAGTCATTAGGGCCACTCAGTGAAGTTGCCTGAAAGTAATGAACTGGGGGCCCCTGTGTAAAGAAGTCCTTGGCCCCAAGCAGACTGGGTCTCATCCAGGCACCAAGGAGCCCTTCGCGCCAATCAGGCTGGATCTCACTTGAGGCACCGAGGAGCCCTTGGGCCATGAGCAGGCTGGATCTCACAAAGGTATTGTGAGATGGAAGCCCAGTTATCACAGACTCGGAGTGCCAAAGCTTGTGGCTTTCTGCATGCACAGACTATGCTGTTCATATTGACCAGGCCTAGCAAATGGTGCTCAGTTTCTAACCAAAGACCAGCTGGTGCTCTAAAAAATGTTTAATGTGAATTTCCCTGATAATAATTACAGAGCATTTGGAAAACACAAAAAGAAAAAAGGAATAAAATTACCCATGATCGCACAGTCTCAAAAAAAACCCCAAAAAAACCAAACTTAAAATTTTGGATGTATTTCATTGAAATATTTTTTCTTATGGCTATATATATAAATTTTAAGCAGATATATCATAATTAAAGTGCAGTTTTATCGTGTTCTTTTTACACTTGTGTACATATTTTTATATAGTTAAATTATTCAAAAATGTCATTTTAAGTAGATATATAAGATTCCATCTTAGTGATGTGCCTGCCATAATTTAACTGTTTTGCTCCTGAACACTTTCTCCACATTTTTGGAAATTTGTTATAAATAACAGCAACCTGTGTTTTTAGGTGAGAAAGAGAGAATAGATTTTTGACATCTTGATGGGACAGTCAGCACTTAAACTACTCTTAGCATCCCAGATGTTTGTGCGTGCATGTAGATAGATATATCTCTGTGCATATGTGGTCTGTGGTGCTGTGTTTTCATGCTTAAAAATAGAGATTCTCCGGGCTCCTGAATAAAACCTAGCCCTTTGGGCACTAATCCATTGAAGGATTGACATTTCTGTACAATAAGTTCATAAAAATAATCATAGGGGTAGTCGACTCTGGGGAAATCCATAGCTGCTAAGTGCTGTTTAATTTAGATCAGATGCCTTTGGTTGTCTTCCTGCCTGTGGTCCATTTGGCGCTCACAGCTGCTTCTCTCTCATTCTCTCCCTGCAGTTGCTGGGGCTTCCAGATGCAGATGACGATGCATTTGAAGAGTACAGTGCAGATGTGGAAGAGGAGGAGCCAGAGGCAGACCACCCCCAAATGGGGGTCAGTCAGCAGTAAACGTCCGAGGGCTCCCACTGGAGAAAGAAAGTGAGCCCCGCCATCCCCCTTGCGTGCTCCTGGGGTAACATTTTGCATTAGTACTTCGAAATAGGACGTCTGGCTCCCAGCATCCAAATTAAAATGAAATACCTTTTTAACGACCACAAAATATCTGTGATGAGCTTTGCTCAGAAGTGACCTGAATTTCACTCCCGCTTCAGTGGGGTTTCTATGGAGTTGTCTTGGTAGCCTTTGCCATTTTGAATTTAGAGTCCATTTTGTGGCCGACTGTTCTCTCTTGAGTTTATGTTGGAGAATTAACATTCGCTGACTCGAATGTAGAGAACTCTGAATGTACTAAGGATATGTTTTGAGTCCTCACAGGTGACCTTACTGAGGGAAAGCATGGCAGAGAAGAAATGCAGTCTGCACTTTTTCTGTACTTTTTCAGTGTCTGTAAGTGAAAGGTTTTGCTTATCAAGCATGAGTTTTCATATCTAGTTATTAAACTGCACAAGTGCAGGAAAGGATAATCACTTAGCTTTGGATTAAGAGGGTGAGAGAGGCCAAGAAGCCTTGAAGTGTTTTGCCATTACTAAGTTACCTGGTGTGTAGCAACTGGTTCATGGTTAGGTGTAAATGTTACTTGCTTGTTCAGTTGTTTCAAAACATGCTAATTCCAAAGCCACTTGTAAAGTCTAATAGTGGAAAATATAAATGGGGTGAAAGACATAAATTATTGATTTATTTAAAATGTTTCTAAACCGTCCCACATATGAAATGAAACCTTTACCTTCTCTCTTTATAATGAGATGGCAACTTGTTAAATCATGAAGACATCCAGAATCCAAGTGCCACTTTAAACTTTGAAGCCATAGATAAATTTAATAGGAAAACAAACCAGGATACAAAGCTTTTTTAAATATAATGGAATCCTTCTTTACTTTCTTAATCTTTTATTTTAAAAAAGTCAAGAAAAAGTTTCCATTGTGTAATTTATTTAAAAATTGTAATCAAGTACCTCGAGGAACCTAATTGCAGTGAATTTTTAAAGGGACATGAAAATAGGAATCTTTTAATCTTGGGTTAACTTGGTTTAAAAGGGGTGTTTTAATGATCAAGATACTGACAACTCACAGAAACAACTTCTGTGATACCCGGAACACTGCTGACATCATTTAGCCAAAATACTTCCTGGGGAAGTCCCTTGTCATGTTCATGCGGAATTATTTGAAACATTCATTTTCTTGGACCCTTCCACATCTCTGGTTCTGATAACTTAGGATGTGGTTGCTTCCTTTGCTACACCTGTCTAAGCCTAGCCTATGGGGCGGGAGTGTTTTTAGCATGCGCACACGTGCCTGTTAAGTTGTCACAGTTTTGAATTTAAAAACAAGCAGCAGCAGCAGAGGCCACAGAACCTGCGGGAGTCTTGTATATCTTCCAGGCATGTCGGTGTAAACTTGATTGTGTCAACATGTTCTGTTTAATTGATTGGTGCTATGTGAGGAGTTTGGCCACTCGTTTTGGTGAAACAGCATCCTGCAGTTTTAAGTCTTCGGGTAAAACAATACCACTGTGGTTTCCATCTGTGCTTCAGTACTCACATTATTTTCTTAGAGAAACATATTAAAGGTTAATTTCTAGTAAAATGAATTTCCTTACGAGTAGCCTATTAGCAAAACCAACCTTAGTGTTTCATCCATTGGGGTAAACGCATTCGGCCCTTTGCTGCAACCCTGCCTGGGTCCTGTCTCCATTTACAAGCAATTGTGAGCTGTAAGTTACATAGCTGTTGCCCAGGTTTGGTAACCTCCATTTTGACACAATAAGCCGCAAGGCTGACTTCTGCAACGGAAATGAAAAAGCTTGACTAGCTTGCTCATTGGAAGATAAACTGGAATTTTATGCATAGAGGCTTAAAATTTAAATTTACATGTGTTTGGAAATGGAATGGACATTAGCATAAAATTTATTTTGTCAAAAAAAGTGTTTAGACATTGACCAAATACAGGTCGGTATTATCATGTTAATGTTCTCTGTTTATAAAAATGGAGCTGAGCTGGACCCAGTCATTCAGTGGGCTGATGAGAATCCTGGTCTTTGTTCCACCCTAGTCAGGGCTAGGGGACAGAGGACATGGCTGTGTGGTACTTATTTTCCATGACAAAACCACCAAAGACATTAACAAATCGAATGGTCTCCCCTAAAGCATCCTTCTCTGTGGTTGTGTGCACACCCCTCCCCGTGTTCACACACACATGCGCACACAGTACTTCCTGCACGTGGATCCTCCTGTCAGGGCTGTGCACAGTGCAGAGCTCTGCCTAGGCAGCCTGTGATTGCTATTAGGGAAATGGTTCCACGATGAAAAGAGCTCCTGACCATTCACAAACACACATACCCACTCACCAGGGGCAGCAGGTGTGGTGGGAGGAGCATCAACTTGGGAAATAGGAAAGACACCTGGCTTCTGTCCTGAGTCAGCCATTGACATCGAGCTTGTTGACAAATTGGTTATTTGCCTTGACAAAATACCTAGTCTGTGAAGAAATGTTGGCCCTTCCAGCTATAAACACTGTCCTTCTTTACCTGCCCACGTGTGTATATAAGGAGCAACAGTCCAGGAGACTTTTGGGGATAGGAGAAGGAAATACATCTGGAATCTTGTCAAGATGCCATCTCTAGGATGCTGGCCCCGGGACCCCCTTAGAACATGTTGGTTCGTGAGTGTCCAAGTCCCCTAGAGCCTGAACCTGTGGGGCTGATGAAATTCTGTTCCTTAGAGAGGGTGAAGTGAGCCCCAGGAGGCTTTCTTGTCTCAACTGTGTATGCCCCGCCTGTGGAAGGCTTGGCTTTTCTTTGTGTCCTGGCTGATGGGGGCTTAAAGTGGTGTATGTTTAACTTAACTGAGTGGGGAGATCTACTTGAAGACTAGCTGGAAGACTGAAAGATGAGTACTAGGACTTTTTGCCATGCCATCCAATAGAGAGAAAGTAACAGTGGAAGTCAAGAGAGTGAGAGGGAAAGTTGTGTGTGCACGCATATGTGCGTGTGCCTGTGTGAGAGAGAATGGGGAACACTTGGTTGCCTACTGATCATTGGGCCAGCTGTGGAATCAAATCACGCCTTTGATGACATTATAAAAGCATGGTCCTGGAATTGAAGGAATCATGCAGGTGTTGTTCTTGTGGCTACCTGGTGACTTTTCTCTACCTGATAATCATACTGAGCAGCCTTCAGGAAATCAGAGAAAATTATGGAGCCAGGGAGGGAGGTGAGACCCCACATAGTGCCTGTCACCACCATGGATTCCGTCGCACTAAGGTGTCCACTCATATCTCCCAGGCCCAAAGCAATGTGGTCTGTTTTGTGTTTTTTCAGCTACAGCATGAAAAGTCTCTTGTGTAGGGACTCTCCTTGTGTCCTGGTGCCAGAGTTAGGTTTCCAGTGTGCTTACGTGAAAACTTTCCTCTAGTAGTTTGTCATTTTTCATCTGTAGACTGAAAGCATTGTCTAGCACAATATGTCTCCAAATATTGTTTCTGTTTTATAAGAGCACAAAGTATATGGACCTGAGGGAGCTGGGGTTCCAAGTGTCATGGAAATTTATAGTTTAGGAGTATGCTTTGCGTGTTAAAATTCTCACATTGGGAACTGTGGTGTGAACAAATGTGATTTCCCACAGACAGAGGCGTGAAGGAATAAGCAGGACCTAATTTGGGCTGGGAAAGGTGGACAAGGAGAATGGCGGAGTTAGGATCTGACAGTTAGTTACCACATGAGACCCAGGAAAATGGTTTTCATGGGTGTCTCGCTAGGAGTCGCTTTCCTCCAAGAGACTGACTGTGTGTTGTGAGGCAAGGCCTTGTGCTGGCAGTGGCTTTGTGACTTTAAAAATGCGCGCACCAAGGAGCTCTTTTCCTTGATAAAATCCACTGCCAGCTAGAGAAGCCTGTTGTTCCCACATGCGAGCACATCCAAGGGGGGCCCTATCACCTGGCAGGTAGAACATGAGCCAAGCTTCGGTCTCCCTGGCAGCTAGGAGGAGGCAGAATGCCCTTTGGGGGCAGAGGGCAGGGCCCACCTACTCCTGAAATGTACTTCAAGGTTGTAGAAAGAGCACAATTAAAATTCAAGGGATCTCAGGCCCTCTTCCCTACAGTGAGTGTTAACTCCAGAGAGCGAGTGTTAACTCCAGAGAGCTGCATTGCTGATTGCTTAGTTTTCAGAGAAGCCTAACAAGTTTTTTGAATTAAAACGAATCCTCTTTCATAAAGACCCAGTCAGTTCTGGTTTTGTGGTAACAGGTATGACCCAAGAAGCTGGTCTTTTTTAGAGTGATTCTAAAACTTACCAGAATGCCAGTAGCCTGTGGTGTCCATGGCAATGTAGTGTCCATGGCAAAATATCTGTAGCTCCTGCTCCCAGGGCAAATTATTCAAGAATATGTTGTCTTTTATATTTTTATTTAAATCTGGGTTATAAAAACAGAGTAACTGTAAGCATTCCATGTTCAAAACCCCATTTAAAGCACTGTAAGGCTGAAAAGGCACAAGCCATTAAAAGTGTGTGCCAGGCCACATAAAAACAAACATTTAATGTGCTTAGAACAGTATTCAAGTTGTTTGGTACCAGAGAAGAAGCTGACAGTCTGTTCTTTGTAAACTGCCTTTTCCTGTTTTGTTTTGTTTTGTTTTGTTTCTCAAGATTCATTTATTCCCCCCTCGGCACCTTCTAATATCCAGGCAGATAAAGAGCAGTGAAGGGCTCTGTTCAAATGTCAGCTTTTAAGAGGAGGAGGAAAATCTTCAATGCTAGGGCAGATCTGAACTGTCTGATCCAGTCTTAATTTGTGTATGAGCGCAAAACTTAGCCATCTATACAAGAAGCAAAAGCAAGGAGCAGTTGTTGGGGTTTTTTTTAAAGGCAAGAAATGTTTCGTGTAGGATGTGTGTGCTTTCTTTGCCTTCATAATTCTTTTCAAAGAAATCTCTTGTAAATTACAAAACTGTGAAATGGGTTGCCAAAAACTGTTGCCCTTCGTTAGATGCTTCGAACAGTGTAAATCCTGTATGGAATCCTGTCCCCATCTGCTCCCTCCTCATGAGCGTGAGGACCTCATCAACGATGTAATTACCATACGCTTGCTATTAAAGAGGCTTCCAAACTCAGGTGCTGTGGTCTCTTTTCTCCTCCCTTCACGATATTTGGTACTAAAGGACACCGAGTATGACTTATAAACGAGGAACCAGGTATAAAGACCCTCAGCTCACTGTGTGGCTACCATGGGGAGAAAGCGGGGACACAAACATGGGCATAGATTCAGAAGTTAATCTGAAATGTGTTTGGGGCATTACTATATCTATTCTGATGCTATAACTGGTATGTAGTAATTTTCCACTCTTGCTCTGAATTAGTACTTCTGTTTTGTGAGAACCCTGTTTTTTCTAGCCTCGTTAGGAATCCTTGGGGACACCAGTTAGAAATCTGTATCTTATAGTCATTCTGTGATGATACGACACCATTTCCCCACTGCTTCCTCCTGGTGGTTGTTAAACAATGGCATTTAAATGATATATCTGGAAGTTGGTGGTAAGTTCTGTTATTTGATTAAGAACAGGTTTCTTTCTCAATATGCACAGGTCTCTGTAGACTGTTAAATTAGATTTGAGACTGGCTTCACAGGCATAGCACAGAGGCGTGTGTGTGTGTGTATTTTAGATAATTTGTGGCTCTTTGTTTTCCACGGGCTGTTGTCAGAGATTGTACTAGGGTGGCAGACTGTGTGTCAGCATTCCAGACCTCACTGGTCTAACACACTGATTGAGCCTTATTATGGGGGCATTCCTTTGTTACTGTTATTCAGTCACTCTCACTTATTTTATAAAATGCAGATTGGTCTCTTTAAGTGCAGAGACTGGTGTTAGAAATGCCCTCATGTCCGCTTTACTGTTAATCATTCTGAAATTAGTTGGCTGGAGGGAAAAGGTTCTAGCTACCCCAGAAACCTCCCTGACCAACTCTGTGATGCTAGGCATGCCTCTCACCCCCTGCCAGTCTCTGTTTCTTCATCTGTAAAAACAAGAGTGGGGGACTCATCCCTGGGTTCTTTGGGCAGTAGCATTGTTTTGGCTAGTGGGGTTAGTAGGGAGGGCAGGAAGCACAGTTATAAAGGATACTAGGTCTCACAAAACCAGGGCTGGGCAGCCGGTGTGGACAAAACTGCACTTCTCTGATCTTGAACCCATTTCCCTTGGGCTCCCCTTTTAGAAATGAAGTCCCCTGTTGATATAGTGGGTACATATTAACTCAAACACCAATGTCCCTGAATGCTTTCTCCTGCCTTCCTTTGTGGCCAATGATAAGAAACCAGAAACTACAACAAAATGGGAAGATTTGTGCTTGGGAGTGTAATAAACAGTCTCATTCCTTGTAGAAATGAGCCTGGTTTCCATAGTGAAGTCGGGCAGGGTGGGATACCACATTGTCCCTAGAGTTTGCTGTGCACACATGTGGGTAGAAGTCCAACAAAAGGAGCAAAACAAAGCCCGCCACCCTGTGTCTGGATCCAGTACCAGGGCTGGGCAGAGCGCATGTGCTGTGCGTGCACCAGAGTGTCCTGTTGGGGGTTCTGCCGGGTGCCCTGATGAACCGGGGCGAGTGAACCAGTTGACTGCTTGGCAGTCTTGACTCTCTGGTACTTCGGAAACTCAAGATGCATCCTGAAAAGGCTAGCACTGTGCTTTCCTTCTTAGTACCAAAGTAGGCAGAACACTTCAAAATACCTTCCCTTTCTCTGACCCACCTTTTCCCCTTTTTGGAATAGAAAACAATGACATATATAATACTCTGGAAAAGCTGTAAGTGGACAACTAGGGAACAAGGGCGGCACTGCCCCTTAGGGAACCTTTAGCAGAGATTTTATCCTCCTTTTGTAGGAAAACACACCACAACACAGGGTGGAAAAACCAGCAGTAGAATTAAGTTGGTCCTTTGGGATGCTTTTTAATTAGAAGCCTCTAGAGGTCAGCACCACATAAAGAAAGGGCTTTTGAGTTTGGGTGGTGGGACTCAGTTTCTTGGGACTTTTGGGAAAGGAGGACTCGCATATGGCCAGGGAGGGGAAGGAGGGGTGAAGGGTCCTTGGCTTTAGACGCAAGCCCCTAGCATTTGACTTGGTCGTTTTTTACCCCTGCTCACCATCTTTCTCTGCAGCTCCCACACCCCTGCGTCACACACTGTCAGCTTGATAAACACGACTTATTGACCGATCGATGAGGTATGGCATTTAGCTCATGCTGAGAAGGGCTGGGGAAGGCGAGATGGAAGCACGTTGTATTTTGCTCAGAGCAAGGCCAGAGGATGCTCTGCATTTGGGACCTTCCAGAACGTTAGCCCGTAGGCTTTGTGAAAACTCTGCAACTTCCAGTGGAACTTAATCACGCATCTACCTTACAGGACTGTTGGAAGGACTAGGTGAGTTTAAAGGAACTCAGTACAGTACCTGGTACTTAACGAGGACTACATCAAAGATTTTTAAAATAGATTTCTGTATGCAATAGCACGTATAAGTTGGATATATTCACTCAGCTCCGTTTGCTTCATGATAAGATAACTGAAAAGTTATCAGGCTGTCCTAAGACCACAGGTTTCTACTTAGAGCCCAACTCTGGTTCTCTGAGGCCTGCACTGATCACGAGTGGGTTGGGGAAGGATGTGAGCATCTTCAGGAGATCTGGTGAGAATTGTGATTGCTGGGAGCCCCTAAAAACTTGTAGATACTCCTGGGCATCCCTGAGACCTAAGAGCACCAAGTGGTGATGGCTACAGGTTTCACAGACCACCTGAGTTCAAATGCAGAACCACAAAGGCTCCCAGAGTTGCCCGGGGTTTCGTGTTAGCCCAGCAAGGAACAGGAAGAGGAAGCAATGGAGGGGCTTTCCTCTCTTCTCTCTCCTTTTTCCCCTTGTTCAGGGCTGTGTTGTTCCTGTCTCCTGAGGAAGGTTTCACCCACTATACAGTATTGAAGATTGTCCTTTGCTGGGTGATTTGGATGAGGCTGGAACCCTGAGGTCCTTTTACTCACTGAGAATGGATATTGATGGAAAGGACAATAAACAACACATCCAAGCACAATGGGAGCCCAGACTCCCCCAGAAAAACCTCCTAACACTCAGTGGCATACCAGCAGTTTCACTAGTATAGATCTCAGAAGGGTGGCTTGATCGTGATGAGCACGGACTCTATTTTTTGCAAGTACGGAACAGCCTGACGACTTTTCGATCATTTTGTCGTGAAGCAGTGTTGAGTGAATATGCCCAAGCTAGGTATGCTATAATATACAAAAATGTATTTTTAAAACCTTTGAGGCAATCCTTGCTGAGTACCAGGCACTGTACTAAGTTCCTTTTAGCTCATTTAATCCAACAGTCTTACAAGGTGGATATGATGATTAATATTCTCCTTCTACAGATGAGGAAACAGAGACACAGAAAAGTAATTCTCACAAGATCACACAGCTTTTAAGCGCCAGAGCTGGGATTCAAACCTAGGCAGTTTGGCTTTAGAACCCTGAACTACTCTGCTCTGAATAATGGAGCTGGTCTTACTCTTAATGAGATCTGTGGTTCTTTCACACAATGCTACAGAGGCCCTGCCCTTAAACTATGCAGTGAATGCTGCTCATCTCCATGGCTGCACCAGCACGGGAATAGAGAGAGCATTCCATCAGCTCTTTGCCTTATCCATGATCATGTCGGCCGTGATGGGTGGATTAGGATAACAGACTTTTTTTTTCTAGTATCCATGCGCTTGCAAAGATTTTTGGAAATGGCTGGAAGAATGAGGTTTGTAAAGTAAGAGGACCCTCAGGCAGGGGACAAAGCTAGTGAAACAACCAGTCTGCCTTCCTAAGCCCTTCTTTCTAGATCTTGTCCCCTGAACAGCCCTTTACAAGGGTGTTACAGACTCCTCTAAGTGTCTCCCTCCTCATAATGAAGGGAATTTTTAAACCCAAACTCACCCTGAAATAACCATCCAAAGAAATTCACTCTCTAGTCAAGGTCTGATAGCTAGAAGAAAGCTCTCCTTGTCCACTGATACCAGATAAAGTACAATGGAGTCACCACCCCACATCAAGGATTTCAGTCTCAATCTACCTATCCCCCACCCCATAATCATCCAAACGCATTTCCAGCCTGCCTCCTGGCTCTTTGCTTTCCCACCTCCGCACTGAGCTCAGCACGCGCACACACCCTCAATCCCAGCACCGCTGCTGGGTGGTGATCATGCTTGTCTTAGTACAACATCAGGCAGAAGGAATGAGTGGAAATTGGAAACTCCATTGCAAAGACATACTCAATTCACTTTTGAGCTCATCTGCTTGTTTGGATTTTCTGTCACTGCTGCCTCCATTAATGCAAGGAGAGAATAGCTGCCTGGGTCAGTATTCCATAAGACGTGTGGGGGCCCCAAATCTAGTTTTCTTGTGTCTAAGATTCCACGTGTCATCAAATAGCTCCCCATGCCTGGGACCCTCTGTTCCTGCCATGGGAGTGTGGGCTCACTGGTGAGTGGCCACAGGGAAGGGCCGCTAAAACCCAGGAGCATTGCTTCTCTGTTTTCCAAATGATGCACAGATGAGAGAAAGGAACGCAGAGATGGCAAGTCCAATACAAGCTTTTGGAAATAGAAGAATACTCTTAGGACCATAAAGCTGCACAGGTATGGGAAGAGAAGAGGGCAGTGTCACGTGGTGATAAACATTGGTTTTCTAGATTTGTCTCTTGCTTCCCAGATGAATTTGATCTTTTAGAATTTTAGTTTCTTCTACTCAGAAATGTTAAGGGGCATTTTGAGCCTGGGATTGCAAGGGGCTAAAAATATATAAACATGTGCAGAATCAATTATAGAATGGGTCTGAAAAGTCAGAATTTAAACATTTCTGACTTCAGTTTTCCCTGTTATCAGAAATGGAAATCTGGGCCAGGTGCACTGGCTCATGCCTGAAATCCCAGCACTTTGGAGGACCAAGGTGTGAGAATTGCTTGAGGCCAGGAGTTTGAGACCAGCCTGGGTAACACAGCGAGATCGAGATCTGTCTCTAAAGAAAAAAGATTTTAAAAGTTAGCTGGGCATGGTAGCGCATGCCTGTAGTCCCAGCTACTTGGGA